TGAGACAAATCTGGGCAATACCACTTCCATTTTCAAGGTGGTATATGTGGGGCTACAACATCACCATTCTAAAAGGAAGAGAAAGAAAAGCCAGTTACATAATTTATTTCTGAGTGAAGGTCTCAGGTTCACTTGTCCTTTTCTTAAAGATAGTTTGCTTCTGGACATACTTCCTCTTGTTGTTAGGTGCCATTGAGTTGGTTTTGACTCATAGCAATGTACATCACAATGAAACACTGCCTTGTCCTACACCATCCTCAAAATCTGTGCTGTTTGAGCCCATGGTTGCAGCCACTGTGTAAATCCATCTCATTGAGGGTCTTCTTTTTGGCTGACTGTCTACTTTACCAAGCTTGATGTCCTTCTCCAGGGACCTGGTATGTGAGAAGTCATCTCACCATTCTCACTTCTAAGGAACATTTTGTCAGTACTCCTTCCAAGACAGATATGTTTTGGCAATATTCTTTGCTAACACCATAATTTAAAGGTATCAACTTCCTGTGGTCTTCCTTATTTATTGCCCAGCTTCCGCATGCATAAAAGGTGATTGAAAAACCCATGGCTTTGGTCAGAAGCACCTTAGTCCTCAAAGTGACATCTTTGCTTTTTAACACTTTAAAGAGATTTTTTCAAAAATTTTTATTGTGATTTGGGTGAAAGTTCACAGAGTAAATTCATTTTCCATACAGCAGTTCACATATACTTTGTCTCATGACATTGACTGCAATTTCCCACAATGCAACAGCTTTCTTCCTACTTCCTCCCCATAGTTACCTCTTCCTTGTGTCCTTCCCTCCTGTGTACTCCTGCCCCCCAAGCTGTCTTCCTGTGCATACACAGCCCTTCTATTCTCCCATGATTGATCTCTCCAAAGAGTGCATCTACCTAATGCAAATGTTCAGCAGCTCATATGCCGGTCTTTTGTTTGGCTGGAAGCCACAGGAGTGGGTAATACCAGACCTGAAAGCCAGCTAGGAGCCATAGTCTTAGGGGTTTCACCGGGTTCTATCAGACCAGCAAACCTGGTCCCCACCCCCACCCCCCTCTTTTATTTTTTTTTTATGATTTTGAGTTTTGTTCCACATTGTTCTCCCACTCTATCCAGGATCTCCTATATAGTTCCCCCTCCGAGTTGTTGACAGTGGTAGCCAGGCACCATCTAGTTTTTCTGGTCTCATAGTCATATAGGCTGAGGATCACACAGTGTACCAGTCCCTTGGACTAATTGTTTCCATGCATTTTTGGTTTTCTTCATTCTTCTTTGCTCTAGATGAAGAGAGACCCATCATTATATCTAGATGGCCGCTTGCAAGCTTTTAAGATCCTAGTCATTACTAAAGAGATCTTTTATAGCAGATTTGCCCAATGCAAAATGTCATTTAATTTCTTGACTAGTGCTTCCATGGGCATTAATTATAGATCCAAGTAAAATGGAGCCCTTGACAACTTCAATATTTTCTCCATTCATCAAAATGTTGCTTATTGGCCCAGTTGTGAAGATTTTTGTTTCCTTTATATTGAGGTATAATCCATACTGAAGTCTGTAGTCTTTGATCTTCATCAGTAAGTGCTTCAAGTCCTCTTCTCTTTTAGCAAGTAAAGCTATACACTATAGATTGTTAATGAATCTTCCTCCCATCCTAATGCCATATTCTTGCTACAGACCAGCTTCTCAGATTATGTGCTCAGCAGACAGACTAAATAAGTACAGTGAAAGGATACAACCCTGACACAAACCTTTCCTGATTTTACTATACAGTTTCCTCTTGTTCTGCTATAATGCTTTTTTTTTTTTTCCCCTCTTTGAATTGTAGTTTGGGTGAAAGTTTACAGAATTTGGGTGAGATCTGTATATATTTGAAGATATCTACAAATTTTTGTTTCATGACATTGGTTGCAATCCCTCAATGTAAAATTAAAAACCTTGAAAGTCCCTAGTTTTATGACCTTCAGCCTTTATACCCTTTCCTGGAAGACAATTCTGCCCCATTTTTCCAGGAGGATGAAGAACTGCCCCTGCTCCTCTCTAATCTGGTTCTCTGTGTGGTAAACAGTCTACAAGATTGCTGAAAGGGGAAGGACAGTGTGTTCCTGTAAAACTTGAATTTCCCTTTGCAATCTGATTCACAGCCTTGGCTCCATCAGCAGTGAGCTCTAGCCAAAGGACCTGCTCCATCCAAAGTGAGGGATGGTCTAAAAGTGAAGTGACACTATGACTGGAAAGTAGAGGCTTTCCAACAGTCAATGCCATCTCAGTGTTCTTGAACTCATGGATAGATTCTCTTTGGTTATATGAAGGTATCGGGTCTTTGAGAGCCTCTATCATACTAGGAACATATTTGTGGTAGGATGCTGTCCTCCTTATTTGCCTCTTTGTGTTCACATCCATTTCCCACCCATCCTCTGTTCTACTTGGTATCTCAGGAGCTGTCTTGAAACCTACTGGGTTCTAATTAGGTTTGGCCAATGAGAAGCACTGGTGGTAGATTAGAGGTGAGCAGAAGGCAGAAAATCCAGGATATTTCTTATCACCCATTTCTGGGTCTGGCAGCAGTGGGCTTGACTCTTCTGTGATTCTAACTTCTGCAGGTGGCCCAAGTTCCTGGACTCACATCTCCTCCCTGGCTCCTCCACCCTAAGGGTGGGTAACTAAAAAAAAAAAAAAAAACCTCACTGCCATCAAGTTGATTAGACTCATAGCGACCCCTCCTTGGGTTTCCGAGATGGTATTACTACAGAAGTAGGTTGCCCATCTTCCTTCCGAGGAGCAGCTGGTGGGTTTGAACTGCCAGCCTTCTGGTTAGCAGTCAAATGCCTTAGGCACTACACTGTGCTTGGTTTGCTCACTTAGCTCTGCCAAAAACTTTGCATCTCTTTCCTATATTCAATTTATTCTGTTGAACAATGGGGCACAGGTTGTATTTTCCTGACTTCATCTACTGATACAACCATTCAGTTGCCATGACAGCCTTACTTGGAAGACCTGTGTATCTCAAAGTCAACAGTATTTGTCTTCAAACTCATCTCTATTTTTACCCATTCTAATCTCAACTCTAGTGAATTTTATAAATGCAAAGTTGAATATGTCACTCCCCTGCTTAAAACACTGCAATGGCTCTCCGTTGCTTTTGGCATATAAAACTATGAATAATGCCCCACTGCCCTTGACACTCTATGTTTCTTCCCTAAATGCACCACTTCCTCATCTTCTGGTATATCTCTACTATACCTGTACCTCAACACCCCAGTGTCCCTTTTCCCAGCTAACTCCATTCCACCTATGCTTCAGGTTTACTGTCTAAGTCTTTATGGAAGCCTTTTTCAACCAACCAAGTCTTGGCTTGAATCCTCCTCTTTTTCGCTCCTCTATGACTCTGTACTCCCCCCTTAGAGCATGTATCATGCCAGTATAATTGTTATCACTTGTTTGTTTGTTATCCTCAGCTAGAGAGATCCATGGGAATAAGGAATTATGTCATCTTAGGTACTGTTACATCCATTTTTCCTAACACACGGTCTGGCAAATATACTTGTTAATGAGAGAATGTACCTATTCCAGGCAGTTATCACTATATTGCTGATAACTTTAATAGCCTCGTTTCTCTGCTTACAATATCTCCAAGTTCCAATCCATCTGCCACAAGAGATTTTTTTTTAAATTTTTAATTGTGATTTGGGTGAAAGTTTACAGAGCAAATTCATTTTCCATA